TTGTATATAAATCAAAAGCAAATAGTCAAATCATAAACCGATACTATGCATATACTTCACCCAATTCAATATCACTAATTGTCAAGGTAATAAATTCTTTTTCTTAAAAAAAAAGTATAATATGGTGTGATATTCATTGTATTCATTGTTTTTGAACGAAAGAATTACTCAGATCACACACACACACACACTCATCAGATCAGATCAGATCATTTCATTGATACCGAAAAATATTTTCTTTTTCAAATTTGAATACATAGTAGTATTGAAAATGAAAATTTAAAAAAAAATTCTTTAAACATAACATTTAATACATTACTACTTACTTACTTATATACACCTGATACCCTTCGTGGAGGAGCATGGGCCGCCCACCAGCATTCACCATTCAACTCTATACTGAGCAACATTTAATACATACGTATGACGAGACCCAAATAGGACGAAACGCACGTCCTGGATTCCACTGCTAGCCACTATCCAGCTTTGCTTACCGTGTGAATATTGTTTGTAAACGTTATTATTACCAAAATGAATCTAATTGGAATTCTATTATGGTTTATGCTACTGATACAACTGATAGATGCATTTCCAGTAAGGATCGGAGTGAGACAAGACTGTCTACTTTCACTCTTCCTTTTTCTTTTGGTGATTAACAGGATTACGAAAACCTCGACAATTGACAGGAAGCATGAAATACAATGGACATCTCAATTGAATGATTTGGACTTCGCAGATGACCTAGCTCTCCTATCCCGTACACACGAACAAATACAGACGAAGACAATTAATGTAGCAGTAGCCTCTGCATCAATAGGCCTCAACATACACAAAGAAAAAAGGAAGATTCTTAAATACAACACGGAGAACACCAACCCAATCACACTTGATGTAGAAGCTCTGGAAGAGATGGAAACATTCACGTAAATGGGAAGCATCATTGTTGAAAAAGGAGGATCCGATGCAGACGTAAGGGCGAGGATTGGCAAAACAAGGGGAGCATTTCTACAATTGAAGAACGTATGAAACTCAAAACAACTCTCAACGAACTTCAAAGTGAGAATCTTCAATACGAACGTCAAGACAGTCAGTACTACTGTACGGAGGTGAAACGTGGAGAACTACTACATCCATCGTCAAGAAGGTACAAGTATTTAAAAATAGTTATCTACGCAAAATACTCAACATTTAGTGGTCGGATACCATCATCAACAGCGTTTTATCGAAGAAGACAAACCACCTTCCAGCTGAAGAGAAAATTAGAAAAAGACGTTGGAAGTGGATAGTACATAAATTGATTAAATCACCAAAATGCATCACGAGTCAATCCCTAACTTGGAAGTGGATATTAAAAGAATGAATAACAACTGGAAAGAACTGGAAAGGATTGCCTACGACAGGGTTGGATGGAGAATGTTGGTATGCAGCCTATGCTCCTCGACGTGGGATAACAGGCGTAAGTAAGTAAATAAATTTGCTACTGATATCGACACATAATAAGTAGTATGTATCATCATTTGAAAGTGAAATGTCTCAAGGCAAAATGCTAAGAAAATCAAAGATTAAAGAACGAGAACAAAGAGTGCATAGTATGGAAACGAAGGAACAACAAAGTTCAATACAATTGTTGGATTTTTTTGCAAATGAAATATTAACTGTATGGTTCTCAGATTTCACCAAGAGATTCTGTAATGCTGTATTAAAATGTATATGGTTGTCTTTCCATGTATTCTCGTTCACTACAAATCATATTATGGAATCAATTGTACAAGTATTTCTAACCAGTTATTATTTATGGTTTATGAAAAGTCACCAATAAAACATTTTCAATAGTTGACCTTTTATGTTGAATTATAATGAAACTTTCTAAACACTACTTAACTAATCACTGAGTAGTTTATACGAATATTCATCAATATTAAAACGAATAGTTTGATAAAAATTGAGTCTGAAGTATAGAAAAGTCATCATATGTGAAAATTATATTTGAAATAATCTCAGTGATTGAAATTTAAATGATTCTAGAGTTTCATCCTGCAAAACTTGTATAAACTTCTTCAATGTAATGATCAAGAAGTCTAGATAAGTTTTGCTGGACGATACTTTTACTTACTTTATTTTACGTACGCCTGTTACTACCAATGGAGCATGGGCCGTCGACCAGCATTCTACAACCCACTCTGTCCTGGGCCTTCCTTTCTGGTTTTATACAATTCTTGTTCATTCTTCTCATTTCTGTCTCCATTTGTCAACGTTCTTTGGTCTTCCTCTACTCACTCGGCCTTCAGAAATTCCATGTGAGGGCTTGTCTAGTGACGCAGTTGAGTGATTTCCTCAAGGTGTGTCCAATCCACTTCCATCGCTTCTTCCTGATTTCTTATTCCCCTGGATGGAATCTGGTTTGTTGTCTCTCACAGTAACTTGTTGCTGATATTGTCTGGCCAACGGATCCGAAGTATCTTGCGTAGACAACTGTTAATAAGCACCTGTATCTTCTGGATAATGGCTATCATAGTTCTCCGAATTTCCGTCCCATACAGTAGAACTGTCTTGACATTCATACTGAAGATTCTGAACGTGATGTTGGTTGACAATTGGTTTGAGGTGCAGATGTTTTCAGTTGTAGGTATGTTGCTCTCTCTGCCGATCCTCGCTCTCACATCTGCATCTGATCCACCGTGTTCATTAATGATGCTGCCCAGATATGTAAAGATTTCCACATTCTCTTAAGTTTCTCAGTCAAGTGTAATTCGATTGGTGCATGCTGTATTATATCGGAGAGTCTTGCCTTTTTCTTTGTTTATATTAAGACATACTGCTGCTGAGGCTACTGCTACACTGGTCGTTCTCTCCTGCATTTGTTGTCGCGTTTGTGATAGAAGAGCCAGATCATCTACAAAGTCTAAATCGTCAAGCTGCATCCTGCCTGTCCACTGTATTCCGTGATTTCCTCCAGTCGTTGACGTCTTCACGATCCAGTCGATCACCAGGAGAAAGAGAAAGGGTGAGAGTAAGAATCCTTGCCTAACACCGGTCTTTACCTCGAATGAGTCGGTGAGTTGTCCTCCTTGTACTCTAACCAGAACCTAGACTATATGCTGGAATTATTTCAAATATAATTTTTAAGTATAATGACTGAATAGTTTGTTTATTTTTATACATATACGTATAGTAAGTTTGATTAGATAACATTAGACGAAGTAACTGTCTCAATTCTATCAAGATTGCACTCTATTGATAATAATTGTTCATTATAATCATGATATAAGATTTGAAGAAATTACCTACTCAAAATTACTGTGAACTGTTTGATGACTGAAATACAGCTCAGTGGATCACATGACTTGGTGGTATAAAGCTGATTTTGAGTGCCATCGGAAGTTTTCGATCGGTTATCTGTTAGTAGTTCTTGACACCTTTAAAGGATACGTCTTCTCGAGACAAGTGAAAGTAAAACTTCCTTGGTAGGTATCTTGTGAACCTGAAAACATGATCACCGAGCTCAGGGGATAAATGTTAGAAGCCAGTCACACATGGTCTTTTTGTTATAAGTTCTTGATATGTTTGCTCCATACATTAAACGCTTAACAGCCTGTAATTTCAATCAATAGATCAAGGTGAGGTGTTCCATCTTCAAGCCTAAACTTCTTTAAAGTTTACCTTCTATTAGAGAGAGACGGTGTAACTTAGATAATGATTGTCTGAGGGGAACATCTTACTACAGTCATGTAGTGAAAAACTCATTTCACTATACATATTTATCTACATACAATTTGTATAAAACGACAGATCTTGGTCACTAATTGACAGTGTACTATTTGTTTTTGTGGTAACTTGTCTGGATTGAAACATTTCCATTTTTTTGAAGTTGCTCAATATTTTATTGTAAATGGTTGTATTTATGCAAGACAATATACCAGTAAGATGCTGGACTCGCATAGTTGAAAAGTTTTACACTGAAATGAAACAACGTTCCAATGTTTCCTAGCTTTTAATGAGTCAGTGCATTACAGAAACAAAGAAAGAAATTAGTCAATCTTCACAAGTAACATTACTAACAGTAATGTCCAGGAAGCCGATAATGTGGGAGAGAACGAACCAACTTCCCGATGAAGAGGAAATTAAGAAAAGACGTTGGAAGTGGATAGGACACACGTTGAGGAAATCGTCAAATTGCATCATGAGGCAAATGCTAACTTGAGATCCGGAAGGGAAGCGGAAAAGAGGATAACCAAAAATCACATTACGCCAGGAAATAGAAGCAGATATGAAAAGAGTGAATGTTAACTGGAAAGAACTGGAAAGGATTTCCCAGGACAGTGTTGGATGGAGAATGCTAGTGTGTGACCTATACTCATCCGTAAGGGGTAACAGGCATAAGTATGTAAGTAACCTTGAGTTTATTGAAATACTTTAAATTTTTACGAATGTTAGTTCTCTCAGGAACATACCACTAGATCCGAGAACTTGCTTGAAATTGCGTAACATATTTGTAGATGGAGAAAAAGTTCCCATTCCTTTATGTGGTAACTTACTGTGGTGCTGCCAAATGTAATATGTGAATTGAATTCCATCGACAATTTAATAGGCATTTGTTATTCATGTAGCCTCAATATAGCCTTAATCCACAAGCATTCTAAGCAAAGTTGGATAGTGGTTAGTAGTAAGAATCCAGGATATGCGTTTCATCCTATTTGGGACTAGTCAGCCAGATCTACTCAGAGTTGATGCCCACTCGGTACTGTGTTCAAGTCATACAGCAAACATATTTTACGACCATAAATATACCCATCAGAAGTATGATTTCCCAATGGTTTTCAGGAGAAATAGGCTCTGTTACGGCCTTTTAATACTGGATCTCAGTTTTACAGTTGCTGATATACAGGTATCAAGAACCCTTACATTTTATCCTGTTGACGATTTGTCAACTGGATGCACCTAAGATCTCAATAATGTTTGAACTTCATTCGCTTGAACCAAAACAAAACGAAAGTAGGATATTAAAGAATCAACATATATGTATATTTTAAACCAAAAAAAAAAAACTCATCACAATGCTTTAAATATCCAATCATGAATTAATCCATTCTAATTCATTTAATCAATATCTGATTTCTTTGCCGGGACACCGCCACTTATAAATGGAATAATTAATTCTGGACCTCTTTTATGTAAATGTGATAATGAAGACATAGATGGTAGTACACCATGTGGTAATGTATCACTATTATCATCATCCATATAGGGTAAAAATGTCCATCGATAATTAAATGGTAAATAAGCAGCATTGATTTGATTAAATGGTTTATTCATTGTTAAGATCATTATACAAAATATCATCAATCCATTGAATGTATGATTCTAAGGATAGAAAAGAAAGAAAATGATTTTTTAAAGATAAACAGTGATTAAGTAAAGATGGATAGTGGTTAGCAGTGGAATCCAGTTTAACGCGCTTCACTTCGTCCTATTTGGGACTCGTCAGCTGAATGTATCTGCATCTCAGAGTTGATGTTCATTCTGAGACTCGAACCCAGCACCTATCGCTTCAAACCTTCCAAATAGGTCGAAACACTCGTCCTGGATTCCACTGCTAGCCACTATCCATATTTGCTTATAATGGTCCTTGTAATTCTTTTCTATAAACATGATCAGTTCAATGAAAATATTTTGTTCTAAATAGAATGATATCAAATAGAAGAAACGAAACGTGAATTAAGGCAATATCGAGGCAACATGCACAGTATGTACATATGCCAATTAGAGACTGACCAGTTGCACTCCTAAACATCAATGGGAAGATTCAAACAAATAACACTAAGTGAATTTATTAGTGTATTAGTTGTGATTGTGTAAATCATGGACAGATCTTAGTTAGACAATCATTAATAATCGGAAAGCATCAAAAACTTGTTTCTTCCCATTTAAAAGCGTGGATCAATGGCTTTACCAGGATTCGAACTCGAAACGTTAAGGTTTTCGGAAATAATGTTTATTCGCTAAGCTACTAATTGCAGATTGAGTGGTGTACATGATTTTTCTTCTTACAAATTATAATCATCTTATTACTGGTAACCGTCTTTGAGATGAAATTTCAGTCATCAATTCACGTAATTGAATATGATCGACTAAAGTTAAACATGGACGACTATCCAGTGGTTACAGGTTTTCCATGGTAGTCTATCTTCAATTAATTCATGATTTCAACTATATAAAATTGTTAAACTCTTCACAAAACCCTCTTCTGATGAAGTTAAGTATATTTGCCACTGTATTTTAGCTTTAGCGGCCAATGGGTTAAGCATTCATCACGAATTATAAACGTCTTAGATTCTATCTACTATAGATACTCGTTCACTTCTAAGGTGTTTCAAATGAGAAGCAAAACAAATGACCACTCATTCTTGTTTTTCTTCAATTATTATCTAACAATAACACGTTCATGATGAGAACTATGCTAAATATAAAATCGTTTTGTTTACTGAATTTGTATTCAAAATATCGTGATAGAATAGATCACACGCATATCATATGTTATTTATATAACAAGGAATATAAATAATTCAATGACTGTTTCATAATATAGACGTCATCATTCACAGTGACTATAAATAACTAACTAAAGAAGAATCTTTTTTTTAATTTATTTAAACACATAAACATTGGTACAAAGGGGGTACCAAATAGATATGCGCCACATAAATCATTCTACTGGTGTGAGAACTGGGACACTGTCCGATTCTCCAGACCAAAACAGTTGGTTTTCTTAGGTGGCGACACTCCGAGCATTTGACCAGAAGGTCTAATCCACATGGCAGTGGAGCAACATCAGGAGATGTAGTCTCATTATAGCCGGTGACTAACGATTGGTTCATACGCCATTTGTTCCATTGAGATACTGGAGACCATATGCAGCATTGGTTTGGAATCAGGGTTTTCCAACTCCCCTAGGTGGACTCATTGTGTCCATCGACCGGGTTAAAGCCCCTGATCACCACTTTTCGTTCTCTCAATTTCGTAAACCACATTAATGTCTCAAGAAGCAGTCAGTAGTACTTCCCTGACGGTGGTTGTTTGCACGTGGTCACATGTGAGCTTTTCGAAAGGGAGAGCTAACTCATACCACTCTCAGACGTACAGGCATTTTGGGGCCTAACTAATGAAAATGACTTTCCTATATACTATTGAATAAAATTCTGTTCAAGATTTTTTTTAATGATGATATAACGTGAAAACTCAAAATTCCATGACCATTTTTGGTTGGAACTTAGTCAACTAAAAAAAACAAATGGGTAGTTATTTTTCTTCACTTAATTAAGTTCGTCCATTGACTCTGTGTATGTTACGAATAAACATTAAATATAGGTTACTGTGTACGATTTAGCCCTTTTTTCATTATTTAGATAAGTAAATGATCCAGACTCTTAACAGGTTTAACAATTTAATGATAACTGAGTTATGATAAACACCATTTTAATTTAACACTTTGGCGTTGATCAAATTCTACCGATTACTTTATCGAGTGGTTACTGGTCTAAGTAATTCGAAATCGTATACACTATATTGTAGTGTCAAATGTTTGAAAGTAGTCTGAAGGAATACTTGTTTCATGGGGAGAGTTAATAGTTTCTTTAAAATGGTGGAATATTGCTAACTATATTCAACTTCCATCGAGTATTGTATTTATATGCCTGTTACTTTTTTTCTTTGCTCTTTCTTTTAGTGAATTTAGACTTATACTACTATAAAATAGTCAGTAGTTCATCTTATTTCTATATTTTTCGGAACTTTTATCGTGTTATCCTAAGTGAAATGATCATAGTAAATCCTTATGCTTTTGTCTGACATTTAGTTTCACCACTGGCTCCTAACCATTTTTATTATACAGAATTTATTACACTCTGAAACATTATTTCAAACTTACAACTATTTGTTTTCAGAAGGGGATTTTGTGGAGGTTTCAGTCATTTTATAGTTGAAATCATGATTCAGTTGAAGCTAGACTACCATCATGGATGAGCAGTGTTGAGGAGTCCCACAGTAGAACGAAACGGCCATTCAGTGCTTCCAGGTTTTCCTTGGCGGTCTAGATTCAATTGACTCATGATTTCAACCATAAAACTGTTTATGTGATGAGAAATCTTATAATTCACTTTTCTAATTCCTAAGATGTATTCGAAAGATCCGATTTCACTAATCATTCATTCATTAAAATAGAACCCTTATAATATCGTGCAATAACATTTGAAATAAATTGACCATTCTTACGTTCTCATGGGGGTTCGATATATGGATTCAAGAATTATTACAACTGTATATGAATATAACATTTATTGGTTTCTGTAACAGTCAAGTATAGATATTATTGGCCATCAGAATCAAGCAATATATGGCTATAGTACATAAGATGTCCATCTTGAGTGTTACCAAACTATACTTTGAATGTAATAATCATCAAGAATTGATATCCTCTGGAAAACTGCTTCAGTCCACTGAATTAATTCATGTGTAATAAACTGTTCAGAAGAACGACCAAACCATCCAGCTCAGAGAACAAAACTCCATCAAAATCATCCACCTGAGCTACAAATCTTGTCTTAGTGGTCTCATAATTATATTTTCCTCATTTGGCATGAGAATTATATCATGTAAAAATATCTGTCATATTGAATATGAGTCTTAGTTTCTACAACCTTATAGCTGAACGCCGGACATTTCTAGCAACATAAGCATTATTTTCCTTAAGTCAGGTCAATTCTAAACTTAATCATGTAATATTTGTAGTTGAATAAAGAAGCTAGTTTAAAAACTCGATCCTTGAATTCATAAGTGAATTAAGGATAAATCATCATGGAAAACTTGGAAGCCCTGAACTGCTGTTTCGTCCTATTGTGTGACTCCTTAGCAGTGTGTATCCATAATCTCGCACTTAGGGATCTAACCCATGGCTTTCGATTTCGTGCGCGAGTGCTCAACCTCTAGACCACTTAACCGTCATCTCGTGACCACGACTTTGGATGCACACTGTTGAGGAGTCCCATACTACAACAAAACAATCATTCAATGCTTTCAGGTTTTCAACGGTAGTTTAGCTTTAATTGACTCATTAATTCAACCCTTAAATTACTAAAATCTCAAGAAAAACCCCCTCTGTTAAAAAATTTGAATTTATCACTAGAGATTATTTCACATCAACTGGATAGTTATGTTACATAATTATCATTCATATTGACAATTATGTCATAGAAACCTATCCATTATATAATTTATTTTGAATGTTCTAAAAAGAAATCAAATTAAGCTAATTAATTTTAAATGAAATATCATCAGATAATTGAAGCGAAAATAAAACACTCTACTAGAAATTAAAATCTGAAAAAATAGTTAAACAATCCATTGTATGTTTAATAGCTGAGATCGTGAATCAAATTAAAGCTAGACGACTATGGAAAAACTTGGAAACACTAGACGGTCGTTTTGTCGTAGTGTGGGACTCATCAATAGTGCGCATCCAAGATTCCACTTCACGAGATTCGAACACAGGACCTGTCGGTCTAGCATGCGAACGCTTAAACTCTAGTCCAATGAGCCGATCGGCATCCAATGGTATTAAGGTCTAACTTTCATCATTCTACAAAATTGAACGACTATCTACCATTGTCTTCAGTGATTTAATATCTCACAACACACCTGGTTGAACTCCACTAATCACTACTTCTCACTAGAACTCCAAGAAATATATTTTGAAACCAGTCACTAGTTAGCATATGTTGATCTAGCTGACGAGTTCCAAATAGGACCAAACGCACATCCTGGATTTCACTGATAGTCACTATTCATCATTGCTTATAATGCTTGTGAATTAAGTTAATATAGAGGTAGTCCGCACAAGATGTACATATGCCAACAAGAGATTGATCAATTGAAGTTCTATATAATAATGGGAAGATCCAAGTAAACAATACCAAGTGAAATGATAACTGTCATTTACACATTCACACACACACAATGTTCATATTCAATAACTTACAATTAAATATATCTCTACAATATAACTGATTGTTTGTATTCTATTGAATGATAATGTATTTATTTCTTCTATCTATTTAATTAGTAAATATAAAATGGTTGTTTAATATCCATCTATTGCTACAATGGACACTAATTTGTTTACATTTATGTCTATCTGTTTTGTTTTATTTTGTTTCGTTTGATATTATCAGTCATTTGAAACTAGACCATCATGGAAAACCTGGAAGCATTGAACTCATGATCCACAAAAACTCCTTCTGATTATAATCAACATATGCTTACTAGTGACTAGTTTCATGAGATATTTCTTGGAGTTCTAGTAGGAAGCT